AAGTAGGCAATAAAAACAAAAGTTGCATATGCAGAGACCCGACAGTTTATATAGCAGCAGTTAGAGCTACATATTACATTATTTTTCAATGACACCATATCAAGGCGGGCGCGAAATGAGTCACACGCTTTGGCCACCATGTCCATAGCGACGTCTTGTAGGCGTGGTTGTTGGTCTTGACCTCGATCACGTCCCAGAAGAAATAGTCAAGGGGTTTGCCGTCAGGTAAGGAAGGTGGGCACAATCCGGCGACCAGTGGTGAGGAACATTGTTGAAAAACCACGCCTGGGTCGTCTTGGACTTGTGTGCAGCGAGGTGGACGTCTTCTTTCAAAAGAGCCTGAGAGTCACCGCTGAGATCTCCCAGGAGGTGCTGAGGAGCGTGGTAAAGCCCTGAATGGACGAGATTTCTGCCGGACGCCACTACGTCTTCCAGCAGGACTCCGCTCTTGCACACAAGGCCAAGACGACCCAGGCGTGGTTGCTCAACAATGTTCCTCACCACTGGTTGCCGGACTTGTGGCCGCTGATCGAGGCCAAGACCAACAAGCACGCCTACAACATGGTCGACTCTCTGAAGGCTGCCATTGTAGAGGCATTCGCTGCTATGGACATTGACAAAGCGTGTGATTCATTTCGCACCCGCCTTGAGATGGTCGTCGCCGCCGCCGGCGGTTACACTGAAAAAAAAATAATGTTGTATGTAACTCTAACTGTTACTAAATAAACTGTCGGGTATCTGCATACACAACTTTTGTTTTTATTGCCTATTTCGTTTTCTTTTGTCAAGTTTCGATATTAATGCAACACCCTATATATATATATATATATATATATATATATATATATATATATATATATATATATATATATATATATATAGGAGAGAGAGAGATTCGCGCCAGTGTGCGTCTGTGTTAATGTTAGTTCTGAGATTGTCACATGCTAAAATGAAATCGCATAGGAACTCGCTAGTTCAGACATGTTCGCTTCAAATTTGAATAAAAAGAAATCATCATCCTATTTTGAAAATGTTAAATGCGATAAAAACAAGAAAGATTTCATCAGCGGACGTCAGATTAACTTAGAGCTGAAGTTTTTTTCATTGATAATGAGGAGAGAAAAAAATGCAGAAACAGTCATTTCATTAAAAGGCTTCACAGATAGCGTTATGGTGTCAAAAAGGAAAGAGATAAGAAGATCGTAGGCATAAAGAAAATTCAAATCACTAAATACAGGTAGCGGAAATAAGCTCAACATCTCACGAATGACTAGCAAAATGGTTTCAGTATTACACAGCCTTGTGATAATAGATTTCACATCCTCAGAATTAAACAGATTCAAATCGAGAGAAAATAAGCGAACAAATCATATCAAAATTTACATATAATTTAATATTACAGTATCAAAAGTCTACAATAATAAATTTGTCGATGATACTACTTAAAATGTATTTTAAGTGGCTCCGTGTCAAATATATCAACACTCAAAATAAACCAAATCCACTTATATATTTAACATAACCTATATCTATTTAATACATATACAGTTTACGATGGGTAAATTGTCGCAAATTTATATATTTAATTTCGCGCATGCGCGTTGTTTGTTTTTATTTTGCGGACTGCACAATATAGTAGTATCAATTAAGCACCGCTTTTGAGAACAAGAGCACCATGACGCAATTCACACCTCCAAAAATTTGGAAACGGTAGGCTATACTGCTTGGCATTCGCGCCGAAAGTTCCAATATGAACATTTCAGGGTGTTTGTAAACAGTGCGGAGGATTCAGAAGTTCTATTAGTCTAATGGTGATTACGATAGTGTTTGGAGTGATCACTAGCGATGGCCACGTTATGCCTCCTTTCATCTTCCCACAGCGCCTCAGACTCAACACGGAGACCTACATCAAGTGCGTTAACGATGTGCTGACATGGGTCAAGAGAGTGTCTACTGGAAGGCCCTATGTTTTCTTACCATGCTACACAAACAGGAGAACCCAGTGATGGATGTCAGACAATTTCTGCAACATCATCAACCCTTACATCTGTCCTCCTAACTTCCCATGCTGCAAGCCTCTTGATGTGCGAGGTGCAGTTGAGTGAGTGCTCAACAAAACATTTTCTAACACCAAAGATGAACTGAAGGCAAGGATTATGGCAGTATTCACCAACTTAAGCCAGGAAAACGTCCAGAAAAGATTCCTTAGTCGTCTGAAGGCCATGACTGGAGCCAATGGCGAGTTTAGTGAATAAATTTACTCTTATTTTAATATTTCAAGATATGTTTGCATAATTTTGTTAAATATATCTGTTAAAATGAGATGTTGGTGTTTTCATTTTTGTGTAGGTTAGACGAAAATTTATCCATCACATCCTGTATATTGTAAATCTCGAAATTGATAGAGCTAAAATATCAGTGATTGTTAACATCAACCAATATAGTCGCTGTAACAGAAAACAAAAAAAAAAACCTACAAGGGTTGAATTTTAAAATGGGCTATATTATTAATTTTACAGGTGCATACATATATATATATAATATTTATACATAATATATATTACATATATTTATATATAATATATTACATATATATAATGTCATATAATATATATAATGAAATAAATAATTTATTTCTTAACTATTTCACCCTCTTACTCGCAACAAACAAAAGTGTATGAAGTCGTCAAAAAGACAAATTGTAGTTCAGTGCGACGCATTTATATATGAAACAGCCCGTTGAAAATAAACAAATAAAATAAACAAAATTATCCAGACACTTAACAACATACGATGTTGCCAAAATCTATCTTTCTCTGTGAATGATGCGCGTACAAGAAAGACATAAATTCGCTTTGAAATAGACACCCCACCCTACCTCAGCTTGACCCCTCCCTGAAGGTGACTGATATAGGGGAATCAATGGTCGCTTCAGTCGTTTCCATAGTAATGAATGAACACGCTTATAACGATACGTAAATTGGTTATTCCTAAATTTTCGCTTGAGGATGAAACAGGGTTTGTTACTTTAATTAGATTTAATTTTTAATAATTATATTGACGGTTTCGGCTCTCGTTTTTCAAACATGAGAACTCTTATGTAGCGAAGGAGTCATTTTTTTAAAAAATAATTATAATATATATATATATATGTATATAAATAAAAAGAAAGAACGGTAAGATATATAATCCGGTGTTCTTATAGATATTTTTATTTTTACAAAATAGTGAGAATGTAAATTTACAGAGCATTAATATTATAAATTAATTGATTTAAAATATGTTTTTTTTTCGCTACACAGTTCCAACCATGTTTCAAAAATAGAAGCTAAAAAACCCCGAATTTAATTTTGCAATTAAATTAAAAGCATTAGTTTCATTTCATCCTCAAGCGAATTTTGGAGTATCTTTTAAAAAAATTACTGGGTTTTAAAGACACAGCTAAAATCACGTTTCCATGGTTGCAGAATATTCTACTTGAATTGGACAAGGGATGTCTAGATTTTCCTTATGTCAGTATCATTGTATCAGTTATTAGCTACCATTTGGTAAGGGGTAGGGATGTATTTTTCAATGAAACCTGACATCCGTTCAATGCATTTGCTGGCATTGTTCAATTTGTTGAGCTAAATAACTCGCTCTTTACTGGGAACTGTAATTATGGTCTGATCAACATAGTTGCAATATAAACCACAAGTAGCTTTGCGGGTGTTGAATAAACACAAATGCGCCTGAGCAAGCGTCTGCAATAGGGGATTGACTAGCCGCCCTAGTAAGCGGGGATCCTCGAATACAAGTACCAGATATACATACATATATACATATATATATATATATATATATATATATATATATATATATATATATATATATATATATATATATATATATATATATATATATGGAAAATATATATTTATATAAAAAAATATTTTTTAAAAAAAATCCAAGAGGAAGAATCCAGGCAGCACTCATTGTCCAAGACAGAGTAAGGATATAATAAAAAGGCTTAAACACTAATATTCCATGGTCATAATTTATTCCATTGGAATCGTAAATACGATCCAAATCATCAGACCTACAAATTCAAAAAGAAAACAGAAAAAAACCAACTCCGGAAATAAAAACAGAATTTAGAGAGAGTGTAAGTGTGAGGAGGAGGGAGATTAAACCTTAACAGAGAGAATTTTAGGAGAGATGGGTATATATATATATATATATATATATATATATATATATATATATATATATATATATATATATATATATATATATATATACATATATATATATATATATATATATATATATATATATATATATAGAGAGAGAGAGAGAGAGAGAGAGAGATAGATGTATATATATTATATGAATTACATAAATATGAATCACAATTATAAGGCCATTTCACTACTCGACATAAATTCCTTGTGTGTGTGTGTGTGTGTGTGTGTGTGTGTGTGTGTGATAAAAATATAATTTTTCAGGCTGGCAATATTTATGGGTTATACTGCTCAATATAAAGTCTAGAGCAAATGTAAATAAACGTTAAACATGAGCATTGAGGTCAACACCGAACAGCGACACTTTGCTTAAACGAAATCTTTATCCTCAGATGGGATGAAGATTGCATTTAAACATAAAAACTGCCTGTCGCCGCCGGGTGTTGACCTCGATACCCAACTTAATATTTATATAGACTAACCGAAAATCTGTCTTGCAAATATTTTTACTAATAAATTTATTGATAAATAAAAGTGTACAAATGAAAAGATTTGTAATTGACAACCATTCCCATTGCACCAAAATAGACGTTAAACACTTCTATCTTTCCTTCTCGTTTCATTTCTTTTATGTTCTCAATAAAACAAAATAGCATCATTGATTTGTCAGTTCCGTGTTTTAGAGCGGTCAAAAGGGAATAGTCCATTATTAAAACAGTATTGGCATGGCATAAGGGTCCTATGAAGTAAGGAAGCAACTAATTAACAAAAAGAGTGTCAAGCAGAATTATAAGATATATAGAGAGAGATATATAGAGGAACAGATAGATAGATAGATAGATAGATAGATAGATAGATAGATAGATAGATAGATAGATAGATAGATAGATAGATACAGAGAGAGAGAGAGATAGACAAACATACAGAGAGACACATAGAGATATAGACAGAGAGAGACACATGAAGATAAAGACATAGATCGATAGATAGATATAAAGATAGATAGACAGACAGAGATAGATTGACAGGCATAGATAGAGAGAGAGAGAGAGAAAGATAGATAGAGAGACACATAGAGATATAGACAGACAGAGAGACACTTAAAGATAGCGACAGACAGACATAGATTGATAGATAGATATATATAGAGATAGATAGACAGGCATAGATAGACAGGCATAGATAGATAGATAGATAGATAGATAGAGAGAGAGAGAGAGACATAGAGATATAGACAGACACACACACACATAATGATAGAGACAGACATAGATAGATAGACAGGCATAGATAGATAGATAGATAGATAGATAGAAGCAGAGATAGATATGAACAGACTGAGATAGATAGATAGAATAGACAGAGATAAATAAGAGTGAGGAATGGTCTGGTTATCATTACTGAATGGTGACTAACACTTTCGCGCCTTATCGCCACACTGTCTATAGCCCTAACCGCGCTTTTCCGATATTCCTTGTTTTTCATTTCATTTCTCTTGGGGACGTCGTCAGTGACTCGCGACATTTTTTTTTTCTTTTGTCATCTAAACTTAATGGAAGTAGTTTTCGGTTTTCCTTCTCCACGGTTTTGAATTCAGAAACTGTCACCAACCCGTAAATCAAACGTCAATGCATTAAAAGCTGCAAACAGCAAGTAAGATAAATTCAGGCAGTAATACCACAGAGTTATATAAGATTGTCATTCGAAACATTGATGGAAAAAGCATAACAATACCTTTGTTTTGATAGTTGCCGGAAAGCGTTTACATGAAATATTTTAAGATAATAGAAGTAATATCATGACAGTTTCGAAACAATATTCTTTAGAGCAACATCAATTCTGTCAAACTTGAAGCAGAGAAACTAACACCGAATTTATGAGGGAAACATTCGTTGGGAAAACTGACGATTATTGATGTTTTGAGTAATGATTATAGAGGTATTGTTCCCAGAGAAAAAGGCCATTTACAAATTGAAATCTCGTTTCAAAGAAGAAAAAGGCGCAGTTTCATTTGGCGAGCAGAAGTTTTTGAGAATTTATTTGAGGGTGGCCGACAATTAAGAGCAGATGTAACAGCTAACACCCAGACATCTCATCCTGTTAAGCCCACATAATTTCGTCTTAAAAATTAAAGGTGAGCAAATGTTCTACACGTTGGAAAGCAAATCTGTTGTGCTCACATCAGCAATCTTTAAGAGCAGAGGTTTTAAAGATAAATTTTAAAAAAATGAGATCCAAATCCTTAATTATAACTGAAGAAGAATCTTAGCATTAACTAGTACAGCCATGGAGGGAAAAAAAGATTAGCCAAAGGTATAAATGACGAGATCAGCGAAGGAGGGGCGTATTAAGCATTTTATAATTTTGCAGGCAATACAGTTTTTATCAACATTTCTTTTCGTGGTTAGTCACAAGGAATTGTAAATCTAGGACTACCTGACACTTAAGTAAAATAATAAAAATAATAATATTTATTAAGAATTTATTACAGGTTATGTCAAGTTTTACGGACACATTATTGACAATTATGTATTTAGTTACATAACAAATTAATAAAATAATATAAATTTTGATGCTATATTAGATTTGTTGTTAGATATTTTTCATTTTCTTCTTTGTTATTGGCAGTATTTTAGAATACTTTGCATGCAATGCTAAGTTTCCTAAGTTGAACAAAAAGGAGTTATTTCGTTTATACTTTGTTACCTGTCTTTTCCAGTGTTGTTTTTAAATCGCTTTCTTCCACTCATTTTGATGGGCAATAGCGAAATTCTGAAATTTTGAATGATCTTATTCCATTTCAAAAATGAAGCCTATAAAAGAATATATCAAATTAATATACCACCAAAACTCAAATTTCTTTTTACAAAAAAATCTTAATGATTTCACAATAATTATATAACAATAATGTAATGATATTCCGCAGACAAATCGACGTTTTATGTTACTTCAACTCATTGCATGGTTACGAACTATAAACCTAAATTGAGCTTGAAATATTATGTAAATAGGATCTAATTTTTGGTAAATTACTTGGATATGATTTAATGAATACTTTACAGTGAAAAAAACAATTTTCGATTTTTTTTTTCTGAATACGCCCCACTGCGCCGTACGTGTCAACTAGTCATAATCAAAGCAATAAACCCCTGAGGAGGAAACTTGTCTGGGATTCCGAATATATTTTGATAGTTGACTTTTTTAGAGATGATAAAACATTAAGAATTAATTACGAAAGTATTTTAAGAATATTTTCCTAAAACCTACCAGAAACTTGCATTGAAAATCTCTATCAACTTTCCACCTTAATAATATCCCTGACCATTTTCAAATATTGCAGAAATTTTACGGAGGACATCATTAAGTTATTTTTACAATGTTTTATTTTGTTTCTACAACCTGTCTTTTCTTTTTTTTCTTATTTTCAGTTCAGTTCAAAATTCCCTGAAGGTTATTCAGATCGACAATCACTTGATGAAGGCCGGAAGTCACAACTGAAACGTTGTGACAACAGCACAAAAGATAGATTCGTAAATAATGATAACTTCTTATCCTCGAAATTCACACAGAAATATAAATTATTGTATTTCAAATATAATTTTCTAATTATTATTTAGTATTCTTATGATAGACAAAGTTCTCTATTCCTGATAGACAACCTGTCAAAGAGAAAACATTCTGAATTTCAAGCCGAAGATAAGTTTGTGTTTGATATCTACAAATGTTCAAGCCCAATCTTTGCATAATTAGTTCTCATGCTATCATTAAAGCATGATTCAGTTTGTGTTTACGTTAACTATATCTACAGGGTGTTCCAAAAGTCACGCGACAATTGCCAGAAATCATACACTTGTGAAACAGCAACCAGGGAAAATTTGCATGATATCATCTTCCCCAATTCCACCCATAAACTTCTTAATAATATAGTCACATACAGAAACATGATTCTATTTGGTAAAGAAATATAAAAATTGCAAAGATACAAATGGTAATGCGACTTTTGGAATTCCGTGCCTATCATTTTATTCGAAATCCCTTTTGGTTTCCAAATTAGATTCTCGTTTTCAGATTCTTGGTTCTCTGTTCTCGTGCCATTTTGGGGTGTTGGAATTAGTCATTTCCAATCTTCAGTTTAAAACGAACAAAAGAACATAGTCGAACTCGGAAGCAAAATTTTTTTTTTGAATAACTAATTCCTGAAATTTACAAAAAAAAAAAAAAAAACCCAAATGTTAGCGAATTATGGTTTGTTTTTTGTTTCTTTTATATACACAAAACCCTTTCAGGAAAGAAAATAAAAAATAAAATTAAAAAATAAAATTAAAAAATAAATAAATCTCCGTGGACAATTAACCAGAGTAGACGATGTCATCTTCCGCTTTAAATTTAGACATCTCAACTTTACCCTAACTTGACCTCTTTGAATGTAACTGAAATATTGATACAAATTATTAACCCTTACGCCACTTTTTTAAAAATAATTGCTCTAGTCGTTACCAAAGTAATTTTAATTTTAATAATGAATATGCTTATAAAACGCGTAAATTTCAGGAATTAGTTATTTCCCAAAAAAATTCGCTTGAAGATGGAACAGAGCTTGGTACTTTAATTCAATTTAATTCAAATAATTATATTGATGTTTTTTTGCTCTTGTTTTGAAACATGAGAATTTCTTATGTAGCGATGGAATCATATTTTTAAATAAATATATATATATATATATATATATATATATATATATATATATATATAGAGAGAGAGAGAGATATAGATAGATAGATAGATAGATAGATAGATAGATAGATAGATAGATAGATAGATAGATAGATAGATAGATATTTTTGTAGGTACAAAATTTAATGATCGAAATAAAAGTGTAAAATTTAATATTACAAGACATATTAAAACAATATTAAATAATAAAAAAAAACACTCAACAACAAGGGGAGGCGCTTTACATCAGGTCCCGCAAGCCTTCTTTGTGCAAACAACGTGAGTGTTTGCTGGGACTCGCTGTCATCTGCCTCTAGTTCCTTCTTGCATATATACAGGTATATATATGTACATATATGTATATTTTTTCCCACCTGTTCTGATTGTACCTTTCTCTGTTTTAATTTTGAATCTCGCGTGGAAGCCTGATGAGCGGGAGCGAAACCGGTTTCTTCCAACCCCTTGTTGTTGAGTGTTTTTTTATTATTTAATATTGTTTTAATATGTCTTGTAATATTAAATTTTACACTTTTATTTCGATATATATATATATATATATATATATATATATATATATATATATATATATATATATATATATATATATTATATGATAAAAAAAATGAATCAAAAACTTTTCCAAGAATGGTATAATATTTAAAGTTATGCCAAGAATTGATTCTATATTATTTTTACTTTCATTTTCAGTGACTCGTGTCTGTGTCAACCATTCGTTGATTAGCAATTTCAAATGGATTCGGAATTGAATATAAACGTTTGTCAGTGATCTTTCATTTCTTCCGGTTAACAGGCAGAGGGCTCTGCTGTATTATCCTTTTCATTTTTTTTCTCCCCCTAATCTCAAAAGCAATCAATACTTGGTTCCAATTTGCTATTTGCTCGGGTCACTAATGCAATTTTCTGCAGCTAATACAGAGTTGCCATTTCTGGCTGAAATGTGGACCGGTAAAGGCCAGAGTTCCAAAGATTTGTTCTTCGATCATTTTCATTTATCTGCCACTATCAGTCCTGCAGGTAAAGGCACTCAATGACACAATGAATCAGAAGATAAATAAATTTCGCTGTTATTACTCTCTTTCTCTCTCTCTCTCTCCCTTTCATGCTTTCTCTTACTCAGTCACTCACACACAGACATACATACACGTTTGTGTGCGTGTGCACCAGCCCCTTTTTAATATATGTTTCGCAGAAGAAAAATGTCAAGTTACTTTTGTTGTTTTTTTGTTTGTTTTTTTTTCTTTTCTAGACAATGAATGCAACATTTATTCCTTTGATTCCGAGCTGTTTGAGCTGCACAATTTCAATTTTAATATTTTATTATAATTATTTTCTTTTTTTTAGGGAGCGGATGAAAGGCTGTTATAGCCATTTTAACTGTCGTTTAAAGAATTTAATAATTTCATAAAAAATTTCATTTTTTTTTTTTAATTATCCAATACGCTACTTACATCTAAATATACCCGTACGTGTACATGTCTGTTAAAAAAAAATCACAGATATGAGATCTATTGAATTTAATTCATTTTTTAATGTAGAAATTTTCTTTCCCATATGTGATTGCTGTGTGTAGATAAATTGGCTAAATTCATGATGTTGACTCCAAGTGTCTTTTAAGAAGTATTTTCTGCTTATATTCCTGAGATGAGATATTCTAATTATTTACGCTATTTTGCATTCTTCGGTGTGCTCTCCTCATCTTCGTTGCCATATGCACGAAATTACGGTCGTTGTACGCTCCTGCCTTCTTCAAGTGATTGGAATTTCGAAACGAACCCTTTATTTCGTCCACT